AGACTCAATCGAAATATTTTTAACATAAACAAATTGTTGTTACTTGTGTTGTTGATACAGGCTAGAAAAATAATATCATCTAATCTGAATCTGCATTATGCTATTATAATATCTACCGGTTGCATAATGTGCTTAATTTCGGCGATAGATCGATAAAATGTATGATACAAATATAGTGCGTGTGGGTAAAACGCAAGGAAATTGCTAGAGCTGACTATACTACAACAAAATATAATAATATTATATTGTTGATATTATGTGTTATTATTACTCGACGAGACCCGACACGTCCTTGTACTTTCGAGGCGCCAAGCCATCACGTCATCACACACGGATACACCGCTGACGTCGTTAGCTATAGCGTTTTCATTTTTGTATTCCCGAACGAGACAGTTTTTGACAGCATATTTTTGATCAATTTTTTATTTTCAGACGACGCAGTGAGTGCGGTATAGGACGGAACAGAGAATGTAAAATATAATATTAAATTTCCACTTCAACCTTTCGACGTGCCGTAGGAATAGACATCTAAAACGTCGCACCGGTAAGTGCGTTTAACTTTTTTTCGTATCATCGAATCGGTGCGATTCAGATTATCCGTGAAAAAGATTGTCTAGAATCTTTTTTTTTTAACATTTTATAATATATAATATTATTTGCGAATTTTCTTCAGCGGGTGTTATGATGTCGTCGATTTAAACGCGTGTCTGTTAAACGAGTGGCATTTTATTTATTCAAGATTTGTTTCGGGAAAACCCCATTGTAACGTAAAATGTACGTTTACACGACAAAACGTGTAAAATACGTTTTAGGAAAATAAGCATGTACAAAGCCCTAAAATGGGATTTATGAGAGTACGACAAACACTGAACATAATAATATAATAAAAACAGAAAAGACAAATTATAATCTTGTGTCATCAATTGTTATCAACATTCTTTATTCAAACTTCAAAACCTTGTAGATATTATATTTCAGTATATTAATTATACATGTATAAAGCATACTGTGTACACAGTGTATAAAGTACGGCAGCAATATGCAATAGGTATTCTTTTTATGAACTACCAATTGATGATTTGGAAAATCGTTGGTAATTTTTTTTTCCATACACCATTTGTTGTTGAATCATTAATTTAATGTAAACATGGTTAGCGTTTATCTTTATGAGAAATCATCATTCGAATTTTATCACCAAACTGGTTACCTGCAGACAGCAATATTTTCGACCTTGGAAATTACCTTTTTCTAGGTTATTGGGTTTTTCTAACTTAAGTCATAACCGGATGAAAGTAAAGATGCAATAAAATACTGTGGGTAATTTCATCAGCGTCTGTTTTGATCAAAACGAGGAACACCGTCAAATATTGTAAATGAGAAACTTGTACAATTTTTCGGGGACGTTATGCGATTAATTTCCCAGGTTTTGTCTACCAAAACTTATATATGTAAGTAACCTGGGAGTTTGACAAAATAAGGGACTAAAATACTAGAAATAAGAGATACCGAAACAACATTTATAAAGATGAGGGCATGTCGCCAACATAATTATATTGAGTTTCCCGTATTCTTTTTTATAGTATTTGACACCATTAGGTTTATTTTTTTATTACTTAATTATACTGTCCGTTTCCATAATATTTTCTTTTCTTCGCAGTAATCCAACTGGTCATATGCTTAGCACAACTCTACCTTATTGGACTCTTACCAATATATTTGTTCAAGTATTTACTTCTCGTACATCGTGTTAATTATGTGTTATTTACCTACCTTGCAATAATATTGTTTATCGATTTGATTGAATTCGACTATAAAATAATGGCATTCCAAACTAGACGATTAACATCACGGTTAATAAATTAAATACAATATTATCACTGTTATTAAGGTAGATAATATAATGTATGGAACTACATAGAATGTGAAGTATAAAAAATTCAAGAGGGCATTCCCACGAAGATTAAATCTGATGTGTTATAGAATATTATATAAGTTGTGAGTTACCAATGAATCTAGGCAATAGTTGCCTTGCTCTGTTTGAGTTAACATTTTTTTTAGAAAATGAAAAATTTTAATTAGTTATGAGTTGGCTCTTCCATTAATTCATGCAAATAACTTAGACTTATAGTACGCACAATGAGTTATTGCGAAAAACATACCGGAAGTACAATGAAACGGAGTCCCGTAAGTGCGTGTCACATTTTCTCGTGTTGGCATTACAAACTTTATAAACAAGTAAAATTTAGCTTATCAAACATCGGTACAAATTTTAATAAAATATAAATCTAGACAATTATGTCTAGACAATTGTCCCATTAGTTTGAACATATTACAATACAGGGTCTTGTTCGATTACCTTAAGTCCCGAAGCCTGGCTACCTAATATAATATTATCACTAAATAATAATTAACGGTATTTCATTATAACTAATTTGGAATATTGGAGATTATAGTTATTATTTATTAATAGTAATTGACAATTCCAACGATTTTTATTTTTAAAGCAAAGTTTAAATTGCTAATTATCGGCTTTCTATAATTTAAAAATAAACTGGAATTAAAATATGCAATGAGGAACCCCATTCGACAAAAAATCAACAAATATTACACGGTATAATTAGACAATTGCAATGTAAGTGATTACTGATATACATAATATTATTTAAAAAAAAATACAATTTTAATTAAGTATGTAAGTAACAATAAGCCATGTTATAGTGATTAGAATAAAATCCCAATGGGATATATTTTGTATGTTTTAAAACACATTTTCATGGGCGTTTTTGTGAAAACCAGATAAAAAGCAGTTTACGTCCCAATATTCTAATAAACACTAAGCTAATTTGCTCTTTAAGCAAGTTTAGATATTATTACTGTCCAATATAGTATTAAAATAAAATATGTTAATATTTGTATTTATTATATTGACTTAATAATATTAACGTACCTCTATTGATGAAATTAGTAAACATAATAATATAATACAAATTTATCAGTTGCACAGCAATTCTAGAATATTTAATATTTACCAATATTTGAGATTATATTTTGGTAAAAAATAATATTTCTTTAATATTAAAAATGTCAAAATTGTAAACCGTTTATTTTTATAAGCTTGAATGTGTTTTTTTACTCCGATAATCGGTGTCCACTAAAACCTAGTAAAAAGGCTAACTCTTGTATCTTTCTACAGAATCATCCATAGTAGTCAACATTTTGTTCGGCCTTTAGTTTAAGAACACAATAAAAAAGCCGCTTTCAATTCCTTTACTAATTTTGAATTTTATTAAACAGTTTGACTTTTTCAGACATCTTTCTAGTACAATGCAGATTAAATAAACTGAGTGCTTAACACCGCGACATTTGGTACTTTTTAAATACAGAAATTAAAGGGCAGTGAAACACGCAACACTACGCGTGTCTGTCAGAGATTTCTGAAGACGTGAATACGTGGACGTTAATTAAAACGTCAACGTTCTCTTAGGTTTTTATTTCCTACATTTGTTTGCATTCATTAACATTTTTGTTGTATATTTTTTGTTATTTTATTTTTTATGAGCTTAATAATAATTATGTTTGTATTAATGTTAGTTGAAATTAGACTAGCCAAAGTCTTACAATTTTGTCACAGCGGAAGCATTTTTTTAAAAACCAAAATGGATTTTACTTAAAAATTGTTGAAAATATTACCTTGAAGCTTTTCGAGAAATTTCTGTAAAATAAATTGACATCTTTGAAATTTATACTTACTTAAATACCCGATTTTAATCTCCTTAAAAGTTTAATCTAATAAATATTTAATTATTATTGTCATAATAGGATATTTTTTTATGAAACTAAAGACCATTATTATTTACTTATAAGTTATAGCTATGCTTTTTTTGTTATATTTATAAGTAGAAACACTTTTACTTTAAGCTATTAAACTGTGTATATATTATTACACAAATGTATATAGGTCACTACACTTTATTACACTAATACATGTTGTCGTTTTCCAAGTATTTAAGAATATTATAAAACTAGCATGTTATTTTACAATAAATTAGTTTTAATTATAATCATATTCTGAATATTACAATTACATTAACTGTAATTAAAGTGTTCGTAAAATTCACTAAAATTTAATTTTAATATGGTAAGCACATTAAAATATGTTTTTTTCTATACTATAATTGGTATATTTTACTATATTTTCACATTGATTATCTTTATCCCTTATACGAAAAACTAGGATAGATCTCATTTTTTTCAATGGGAGCATAATATGTTTTTATTTCAATTAATATATAGACAGAAATTTTTAAAAAATGTTAAGTGTTTGAATTTTAATTTTCACAATGAAATGTTCTGAGATAGGTAATGATAAACAAGCGATTTGATGGAAACCTGTTCCAAAAACCTAACGCATCTTTATCTTAAATTAAAATCTTTACAATGTAATAGTAAACAAAGAGATCGATGAAAATTAAAAATTTAAACCATAACAATTTTTAAAATATTTTGTCTACATATTTATAGAATTAAACATAATATTATTTTCCCGGAATAACTAAATCCATACTTCTTTTCCGTAAAAGTGATAAAGGTAAGGTGAACATTTTCAAAGTATTAAAAAAAAAAAGTAAAGTATGTACCTAAAAGTATAGAAAAAGTAATTTCCAAATATCCATTTTTTCCCAGAAAATTAGTGTCTTACATCGGACGAATCACCCTGTATGTATACAATTCATAAAGTACTTGCAAACATGAATGCAATAATAATAATACTTATTGACATGGATATGTCTTTTGGCCGGGGTCAATAAGTAAATGTGTGCGTGCGTCACGCTGAACGTTACCGAAGAAAATATGTGCGTGTGGCACAATCTAGCAGTTGTTTTGTGAACAAAACAGCTGATAAAAAATGTTTAATGTTCTGGCCAAAGATTAAAGATTAGAGATAAGAAAGGAGACATATTCATGTGCCGATGTATCCACATATAGCGTGAATACTAACAGTTTATTAATTAATTTATACCAATTACGTATTTATAGATCATTTATACCGTTAGGTGCAACATTTGTAATATAGCGTGGAATTTTTAAATTCACAATACGAGTATAGTAGACTTTATACACATAACTGCAATTTTAAATGGGCATTAATTGCAGTAAAAATGGTTTACGTACAAAATAGTGCAATTTTTTATTTAAAGGGATATAACATAGATTGTGGCCACCGCTCACTGACTACTGAAGCGAATATTTTGGATACTCAGGTTAGTTACTAACATATACGTATTATGTATACAGTATTCTATTGTGCATGATCATAATATATTACATGCTATGTATATTGGCAGACTACAAAAATATAGATTGTTAACAGGGATCTGTCAGTGATGGACAGTATCTAAAGTACAAGTATTTCAAATAATTTTTGTATTTTGGATCTTAATTTAAAGAGATACACAATACAGGTACTATGATTTATGTGTATTAATCGTCAAGTCTTTACAGTGCTAAATCTGGGTTTTTACCGGAAGTTAAATGTGTGTAGTCCTTTAAATGCTTTGAAAATTACAAATATCGTGTAATGATTGACTTTTGTAAAAAAATTAAATATGGCTTTTATAACTAATACATAAAAAAGTGGTATTAACAAAGACGCTCATTTTGCAAACACACTAACGCTATGTCGCTACTGGCTCTACAGAATTAAAATTGTTTTTGCCTACTGATATGGAAATCAGAAGAAGAATTTTTTAAATAATACAAATTGTAGTGACGTGATCAGCGACTCATTGTACTATGGGGGAGGCGTCACAAACGTATATGCAGAACAATAAGTATGAGTGTTGACTCTTGTTTAAATTATTATGTGATGTACTCCTCACTATAATAACGAGTATATTATTATAATATCATATACACGATACACCTTATATTTAGCGGTGGCTTTTGTGTTGACTTACAATAGGAGATGTTGGCGCGTATTGCAGTGCATTACGATTATTGCGTACTATCTATGTATCATACAACAATATTTACATTGTTTCGGGGTTTAATATATTTTGTCCGATAGTTTCAATTCCATTTGAACATAATCATATTGGCATCCTCAAAGGTCACTTCTGATTCATTACATTTGCATGTTATTATTTTTATTATTTATTAGTTATAATAATTCTTTTGTAAGTCAGCGTATGTTGTAAGCAAAAAACGGGCTATTCGATTGACTTTAACTAAATTAGATTGATACTTTCAGATTAATAAAGAACTGTAACTGAAAAATATTCTATAGAACTGTCTAAAATTTCAGTGAAAGTAAAATATATTTTAAATTAAAACGTATACAGCTTATAATACGCAATTTACTTATTCATGCTCGGTGAAAATATGGCACATATTAATAAGTCAACAATTTATTTAAATATTCCAACCATAAAAGCAAAAAATAAACTGTCTCAAAAAAATGTTTATTGAATTTGTTAACATTAAGATATTCTTTTTGAAAATCCCTTTTCATTAAGAACGAGTTCATATCTTAAGCAAATATACGTTCCACTTCAATAGTTTTCCACTTTTTTATCCCTGCAAATAAAAAAAAGCAAGTACAGTAGGGTCGGGACATAGTGAGGATGGAGATCACAGGTCTACAAGAATTATTATAACTAAAAGTAATAAAATCACTTTTAAATAAACGCTTCGATGCGAATTCGTGGGTAGTATCATTGATTATGTAATAGACTATTACATAATCAATGGTAGTATGTATAAATAACACATAGCAATCTAAAAAGTGACTACGGTTAAAGTGTAATTTTCCCCTATTTTTTGGTTTTTCCTTAATAAAAAAATGATTCACTACACATTTTTGAGCAAGTTGTACATGTTAAAGCCTCATCCTAGGTCTTAAACCTTAGGTTAAACCTTTGGTTTAATTTTCATACATACCTAAACACCTAAACTTTGCATGAAAAAGCGAAATTTGAAGTTAAAAAAAATGTAAATTTTTCGGGTGTATTTCTCGGTTTTGAAGGGAAAAGGATGAACTTTTTTGTCTTATAATGTACCTTACAGTTACGATTTCTGATCTTAAGAGCTGCTACACAAAGAAATCGATTCAGTGGCTTAAAATATATCGTGAGCATAGACACAAATATATAAAAAATATAAATATAAATAAAAACACATCATTGTAAATTGCATCGAAGCTAAAATAATACAGTTGTTATACTTGCATTATTGGAAGTTGCTTCAGTATATCTATAATGAAATAATAATAAAAAGGAATCTTTCATAATATTGGTTTATACTTTTGAATTTTTAAGAATAAAACAATTTTCGCTACTTTTGCTATGACTTTGACCTACTAAGATCATCATATAAGGAATAGGCGTTTGTTTTTGTATTTCTAATAAACTTTACTAATACTGAAGGTTAGCATTTATTTTACTGACCCGAGGTTATCAATTCGAGCTTCGTGGTTTTTATCAAACTTCACATATTTTTATGATTCGTCTGTTTCCATGACTTTTGTTTATTATCATAATAATATTGTACATAATTATACTTATTACACTAAGTTTGAATTTAACATTATAATATTTACGTAAGTATATAAATTAGGCTTTTTATAAAACTCCAGATTACATTTACTTCAACCTTATTATTTTTTATTAGTTGTAATTAAACTAAAATAATTATTAAACATTTTCATAAACGTTTTAACTTTTAGTAAAACCTAGATATCATAGAAAGTACTTAGTGATCAATTTTGAATTTAATATAAAACATATAATGAGAACAATAAAATGTTGTGTATATTACTGTAATTGCCGAATAATTATTAAAAAACGCGCTTCTTTCTAAGGCAAAATAAAAGTCTCGTCTCGTAGTAATCTTTAAGGACAGAAGACGGGGTCAACTATTAAATAAGTATTAAAAAAACAAGGCAAACTATTTTTCTTTTCCATTTTCTTATAAACGAGAAAATTGCAATAGAGATAATTGCAACTTTGAACATTCCCGGTTCATTCAGTAACTAGAGCACATTAAATGAACTCGTGGCCTTTTGCTGAGTGTTATTTATGTGCGTACGGTATTTATTATTATTATTATTATTATATATATATATACATATTATTATACATTATACGTACACATAAGAGAAACCGCCACACACTTGTTACCGGATTTTATTGCCTAACAACACGTTTGAAAGTTTAAACTTGAGAACGAAAACTTAAGACATTATAAACGGATTCGCCTGTGTTTGTGTATATGCGTGGGTGTACGCTTGCGCTTCCTTTATTCCTTTTTAAGCTATTCGGACGGTTACTGCCTCCTTGAGTTTTTCTTTTTTCTTATGCCGTTTGATTTCCCGAAGACCGCGTGTACATAAATTATTCATACCCTGACCCTCGTTCACCCTCTGCCACCTATACTCTTACTACTCTAACCCAAAGATTTACAGCCGCCATTGCCGACGCCGACACCTGTTCGTCGACCCCTCTTTCGAAAATAATTTCGGTGATCGATACACAAAGGTCGGAGAAAATAATAGAAAAAATAAAGTTTGTCATATCTATACATATAAAGCGTCAGATGGTAATTGCTTTGATAAAAAAAACCAGCCAAAAACCCAACCAAACGATTGATTATTCAAACAAACCAAATAGATAATACATTTTTAGGTAAGTAAAACATCTAGTTTATTGAATAGATTTAAAAAAATAAAAAAATAATACAAAACAATAAAAATCAATTTTCCATCTTTTCAGAAAAAAATATTGATGCATTTTTAACACAGAGTAGCTTGAAACTATTTTCTCGATTTAAAATTGATATAGAATTCTTAAAAAACGATCCAACATCTTGGGAATCAAATAAAACTTTCATAAACGCAAAAAATATAATAAATTCACTAACAATAATCAATGATACTGCAGAAAGGGCAGTGAAATTGATGGAAGATTTTAATGCATCATTAACATTAGACGAGAAGCAAAAACAAAATGTCTTACTGTGTGTACAAGAACATCGAAAAACCTACCCAAATTGTAAAAAAAGTACACTTCTACAACAATATGACGTATAATTAAAATTATGATACCTATATTTATAATTCATATTATTTCTTTTATCGATTTTACTCGATATTGTAAGTTATAATTATTATTATTAAACCTACAGTGAAATACTATAGTATTATAAATGTAATGTAAATAATACATTTGTGGAGAAATTGTGTATTTTAAGAGTAAAGCTTATGCATCTTATAAATAAATAGATTTATCAAAAAATGTTGTATTATAAAATATATTGGAAATTTAATATACTTGCAAAAACATTTGATGAAAAATTACGATTTTCATAACGGTTTAGGAAATATTTACGGAAATACCAAAAATATCTAGAATTATTTAAAAATGTATTAAGCTCAAACTTCAACTTCAAGCCGGCACGGGTTAACTTTATTTGATTGACCTAGAATTTCTTGCAGTTCATTTTTATATGTATACACATCGATTTAGGGGGTGAGACCAAAAATATATCATTATTTTTTTTTCTCATATGGCTAAGGAACACCCTATATATATACATATATACATTTTTGTCGCCTTAATTCCTAAAGCACGATGGCTGCAAATACCCCGAGATGTAAACGGCAGTTGTACTTGAGTCGTTCACCCCCAATGAAATTTACGAATTCCTTCAAACATGCTTCTTTGTTATAGCGATATAGCACTTAGGTAGGTACACGAACCGGCCGTAATAATTCATTTTTCGGCCAAAGCGTTTGCGCGGTGCACGAATACGATTGTCATTCCCGGAGGTCGGAGGATAATATAATATATTTTGTACGATATTATCGTATGGCCGGTCGTTTCCCTTATTGGAAATAATCCAATAAACCAAACGGATTATATCGGCCACACCGCTACAAGCCCTTTTGACAATAAAAAAACGGCTACACTAAATTACGAGTAAATAAAATAAAAAACTACACAAACACAGTTTTATGTATTATTCTCTTTGCATAAATTCGTTAATACAGAACAAATCGGACGTGTCTCATTGCAACAACAATATATATATATATATATAAATAGCTGGACGCTACCTCTTATCTGGTACGTTATTCCGAGTTAGTGGTTGTTTTATTTTATTGATACTTCCGACGTCGACTTGAGGGGGGTATTACTTCTCGGTGTATACTACACAAAAGAAAACTGAGATCAATTCACCGCGATTCTTTATGATTATGCAGGAG